ACGTTTTAGGTATCCATTGCGTTGTAGTTCGTAAATGTGCCATAACGATGCAATTATAAGTATTAGAACATGGCCTCTCAATGAGACCCCCTTATTTTCGCTGTGTATAACCCATAGTGCAGAAAAGTTGGGTACTATGGTATATTTTGGTTAGTACAACACTTTTTGGGTTGTAACTGAAAGTGTAGTACTAACCAAAAAGTGTGGTACTATTTTATGCAAATGAGTTATTAGTACCACACTTTTTTGATAGTACTACACTTGTTGGTTTGTAATTGAAACCAGGCCCACCTTCTGTGTAACCTAGTCACCAAGGGGAAAAGAGGATTGAAACAAAAACAGCCCAGCTTTCTCAAAGGCAAATGCTGTATTAAAACTGATATTGAACAAGGAAAACTGGTATTGAACTATTTTGAAAGGTACCTTCGGGGAGATGGCCATGTTCTAAGTCAGATAGACAATGGGCTTGGGCTCGTTTACTGGGATATAGTGTTGCCTACAAACTCGGGGACTGTCTGACTCTCGTGGCGACAGCCAAGTGCCCCTTTTGGGCGGGTAACACTATATCTCAGTAAATTCGCCTGGTCCATTTTCTATCTATTACATACTGCTCATGCTAACAGTGTATTTTGCCTTAATCCAATCCTAATATATAAATCTATATTCCAACAGACTAAAAAGACCTGGATTTTCAGAGCTACCAGAAGGGGACAGTGGAAGAACCATGCGTGTGCCTGGGAATGCCTCTTCATTTGGCAATGATTTCCAAGAGTTAACCGTCCATATAGGTTTTTCCTGAAAAATAACTTTACCAAAAGTGTTTATGACAGAATATTAGGGTGTACTAAGTCTTATGTTGCCCATAGCAACACCGGTGACGTCATAAAATGACGTCATGCATATTGAAAATATCCGCCATCTTGGATCATCAATCTTGAATTTTCAAAAATAGTTTTTTTTTTCATGATAAAGCATAAAATACATTGTAAACTTACTAAAGACCTTCATTTAAACCTTTTTTGTAAAAAGAAATGGAAGTTTTGATGAAATTTTAATGAAAATAACCTGTATATACCTGTTCTAATGATATGGTCCGCCATCTTGGATTTTGGCCAATGACGTCATCAAATTAGCATAAATTATGCATATTTAATGATAAAATTTACATATTGTTATCGGAGATGTTATTAATATTAGAAACCATGTGTAACTTGACATAAAACCCTTAAAATTCTGCTGTTGAAACGAAAATTATTAAAAAATTTAGCAAAAAATGCCTGTCAGAAACCCGTTGCCATGGCAACACCAAAAATCATAATCTTATTCCGATGATACAGATTTGTTGCCAACAATATTTTAGAAAAAGTCACCAAGTTTGGCGGTTCTAGCTCCAGCAGTTCGGATGCTATATGACATCAAAGTCGGCGCAGGCACTTTTACGCCCCCCCCCCCGTGTACACTATATGACATCCAGTAGATTTCTAGCGGGGACCAATCATAGGGCTGCTGACGCGTCACCGACTAGCGGCTATTAGCACCTTGTTTCATGTAAATGCCATGAACTCAACCAGAGCGCGTATATTGTTTCTTGTTTACATCAGTACTAAGTACTAGTACTTCCACAATCAGTTAGTAAAGTCATACCTTAGTAAAATCTACTTTGATGAACGAATCAAAACGGGACTGTAGACATTAAGTTTTACACATTCAAATGTGGCTGCACTAGCGCTAATGGAGCGACCACTACGTACGGGAAGGAACGGATCTTAGCGAAGCCGAGATTTGTGAACCAAACACAACCCATCGAATACGGGCCGCCAAACATAAAAATGGAGGGAAATGACAGACAACAAGCCAACAAAGACAACATCACCAGACTAACAAACTTGGAAAACACCACTTCCAGCGCTAACGTTGTAAGAACTGTGGAACCTCAAACTAGTATGTTTGCGTCAGCGGAAAGGCTGCCGAAGTAACCACTACATGAAAAACTGCGGCGAAAAAGTAACATGGGTTCGTCCCAAATCTAGACGCAAGTGAGCTACAAAAGTAATAGAACCTATGCATCTTGCTTGTTGCTGTCAACTTACCCGTTAAAGATTGAACCGATACATGTACGTACTATAACTTGCCATACCCGGCCAAAGACGACTACATTACTGTTACTCTTTATTTTGTGCTGAATAATGTTTATCCGTTACATTATATATCATTGTCATTTCTGTGAATTCCTTAAAACATCTACTGTTAGTTTGTGTAACATTACGTAGTGCTACAATCTGCGTAAAAAGTGGGCTTCATTACGTGTTATCTGCTAAGTCGTGTTGGTATTGAAAACTGTTTTATTTTGCCGTTCTTCTACAAACAACAAGCAGAATTATGAAGATACTCGTTCTCAATACACATGCTGCAAACTAAAGTAATGGCAGTCCTACGAAAATTCTGTTTGTAATGTATAAGCGCTTTATGTCGACGAACAATGGGTGTGAAATACATGTTTTCGCCCATCGTGTGCCACCGGCTCGGTGGTAATTGGCTACTTTACAAGTGAAAGAACCGCGTCCGTGGGCCTTGATAAATTATTCAAATTATTCAGCAGCCCTCTGATTGGTCCCCGCTAGAAATTTACTGGATGTCATTCAGTGACGAGCCCCCCCCCCCCGGTCTAGATAGGGTTAAGTGTGCCTGAAAACCAAAAATAGTGCTGAGTGTAGCCTTGTTATCGTTCGAACTATGCAGGTTTGTAAAAACTTGTATTGCCAAGCCATTTAGAATTTGTAACAACTGCTATATGATTGAGCCTACACAACAATTGGAATAGTCATTACTTTATTGATAACAATGCACGAAACCTCAACTGAAAGAGCAGCAGATGGTATAGCGATTGTAAGATCTATTTGCAAAGAAATTCTAAGATGTTTTCTTGAAGCACAGGATTTGGCATGATTTTTTGTACCTTCTGTATATTTTGTATCTAAATATTAGAATTACTGTTTTCAATTGTCTTTTATACCTTCAAAGTTTTGAGTCTATTTTTTAGATTTCAAGCTAGTCATATCTATCAATTGTTAACTTATGATTTGAAGAATACATATTGTAACTTGCACGTAGTGTAATGTGAAGAAAGAATAGTTGACGTCATATTTTAATATTAAATGTTAACCAAAGTAGCTTAATTTAGTAACATATATTTTGTATCATTTAATTTAGTAACATATATTTTGTATAATTATTAATTAAAATTGTTATTTTACTAAGCATGATCAGGTAAGAATAGTAGTAGGCATCCTTTCATTTTGAGAGGTGATTGTAGCATTCTCTGTCTGGTCTGATTGGATAATGTTGTATTAATCTTATTTTTTGCATACAAATAAGTACTGTAACAAACGTCACCACTTTTTTTTACAATTGTATTAGAAATAAAACGCATTTTTTTATCGTAAGCTATTTCCATAGCATGCAAAATAAAAGCTAAACTTTCGTCCTTTGAAGGAAAACGCATTCCCCGAACTCATCATTATCCCAAATACGGTAAAAAAACGTTCCAAATGCTTATCAAGTATGATACTCCATTAATTTTGTCCCCAAAGAATGTCCCGCAGGCGTCGTTGCACATCATTCATTAAACAGGAATAGAGGTCATCACCGCAATGCAAGTTAGCAATTATGTTTAAGTTCAGTAGACCTATAAAATAACAAGGTTTTCTATACCATGCTGTACACCCCATTAAATGCTTGGTACTGTCAATGGGTACTGTAAATATTCCCATGTGAGGAATCGTCTTCAGGGGCTTTATTGTTAACTAGAAAGGCCAATATTTGCTTTGGAGCAAATACAGCGATGGGTTCACCACATTTTACGACATGGCAGGGAAAGAATGAGAAACACAAGGGAAAACAATGATTTACATTGATATAACTATAATATGAACTAACATACGACTAAAACAACAGTTGGATAGCTATTCCCTACTTTATTGGTTAGGATTTTTAATTGCATAATGCAAACTGTTGATTTTCAAAATAAAAATAACGTTCATGCCCCGCATTCCAATGCTGGAGCAGGAAAGCTTGAAATACCTACCAAAACACTTGAATACAGACATACTGTCAGTATGGAAATGCCCTGTGCAGGTGTTAATCAAGTTAAATCCCAACAGCCAATTAGCAAGAAATGCTCTGTGCAGGTGGAAATGCACTGTGCAGTTGTTAATCAAGTTAAATCCCAACAGCCAATCAGCAAGAAGTATAGAGGAAAGCTGCATGCCTATTGGTTGATGCCCTGCATTCCATTGTGATGACTCATACCCAAACGTGGTAAACCTGGCACACTAACACAGTAATACATTAGCTATAACACAGCCAAAAAACTCAAATAAAACCATTCTAAAAGCCTGTATCACAAAAATTTAAAAAACGCCTAGGGGTATTTGCCCACTGTACCTCCATACCAAATTTCAGGACCTTGGGCCCTAAAATGAAGAAGCTGAATCCATTTAAAAAATGGCAGGAGAAGAAGAAGGAGAAGGAGAAGGAGAAGGAGAAGAAACACCAGAAAAAGCAATATGGTTTCACCACACCACTTCGTGGTGTGGTGAACCCATAATAAAAAAACTCTACAGTTGAATGTGACCGTCCCCGTCTTCATTGTTCAATCTTCTTCAGGAAGTTCATTTTTTAATTAATACCATGCATGTTAACGTCTCTTGGATTGGACGTTAAATTAAGGTCCCGTGTTTGGGGAGAGCCACCCACCGCACTTATCGAAAAGAATAGGGGACCTTCCCGATGTGAGTGGTTCAAACGTTACGGTTTTACGCAGCTTGTACTTACATGTACAAAACTGGTGTGTTACACCTAAAGGCGGTTTACCGGTTATGCTTAACAAACAAACAAATGTCCGTTGGTCTGACATGATGAGGTGACAGATAGTCTTAGTACAAGAAACTATTTCTCCGAAATTTTTCACAAAGATCACATATCACATTTTTCAGACAAGATCTAGGGGGAACCTTTGGACTTGAGGTACTTATTTATACGTATCGATGCTCGAAATGTCCCCTTAGCGGTATGTTTCTCGTATTGGTGTACCCATGTAGTGAAGCTGGCTCTCTAACGTAATAGTTCTGGTATGAGTGGAGAATTTTCTTTCTTCTTCTCTCCTGGTAAAGTCAAAAGATGAGAAGTGTAAGACACAGTTGACATAACAATTAGAAAAAAATCAAAAGTAGATGCGAACAGATGAACAAAACTCACCCATATTTTCTCTTCCATTAAATCCATTCGGCTCTGAATCATGGATATGGTCTCTGGAGTAACTTTGGTTTTCTAAAAATAACAACAAAATAATGAAAGATAGAAAGAAAACGAGAAATAGGCAACATAGCAAAATGTCTAGATGACTTCAAATCATTACCATTAGTATCTAAAACAACAAATTTGTAGCTGTTATAACATCCGTACTTGGGAGATGAGAATCAGAAGAACACCTTATCTCGATGGCGTCACAATTAAGGGCCTCACGTTTCAGGACAAAAATCCCAGAAGTCATTGAAATCAGGAAATCGGCCCTCTCCTTACCATTGCTAGACCTTCCATCCATTTCTAATGTAAAGGGGTAGGGGGTTGTCCCGCTTCAACATTACCTCACCTAACCTACATGAAACTAGCACCCCACCAAGATACCAAACATCATCACGGGGTCGTGTGTCGTAACGGTAGAGTGCCCGACTCTAAAGCAAGAGTTCGCGGGTTTGAAACCTGCCATGCCACTGGCCCTCGACAAATTTAAGGCACTTTACACGACTTCCCTTTCTCCACGCATTAGGAAATGAGTACTACTTTGCTTTGGTGGCGTCATAAAATAAGTTTAAAAATGTGTGCCGTCACCACGTCTTGTGATTCTATGGTTTGAATAAATTAGAATCACAATCTAAGCACAGCAACTATCATAATGTCAAACCCGTATCCATATACTACCAGTGTGTGAGAACAACACGACATTTCACGGACGGTTAGGCAAATTTCAGAATAATGTGATTGTAAACGATAGTGGCTTGATTTTTTTCAAAGAATTTCCTTACATTTGTTTAATACTTCAACATTTATTAAACGAAATGGCGACTCCATGCACACTCAAGTTTTTCAACTTATTATATACAGCAAACAAGGACATTATACATAATCTGTATAATGTCCTTGCAGCAACCAACGCAGACAAACGCATGGTCGGACAACAGACATATACTAATTTTCTCCTGAGTAAAGTGAATAAACCCGTGTTCATCGTGTTTTCCAATGGCACAAGACCCCTTGGTTCCAAACCGATCGCTCTGTCGCTACGCCACACACAATCCCATATTTCCTACATTAAGATTCAACTGACCTTGGTGACGAGTTTGAAGAAGATGATGACCAGAATGATTTTGATTGGTTGAAGGATGATGACGTCAGTCAGGAAGGAGATAAGAAAGGCGAAGAGCCAGGATTGAGACTTTGCCCTGCCGTATTCATTACCGTACAGGACAGTAAAGGCTCCAGACACCACCACTATGGCGGCCACTAGGAGCCAGGCTGGAGGGAAACAGATCAGTGTTAACATGGTTACTGTACAGGACAGGCCGCTAAAATTAAACAAGGGACCAAGAAAGACACAAAATATTTAAAACTAAGATAATCATGAGTATATTTTCATTTATCTAAACACTCCAGGATCCTGGTTTGGATATTTGACCCTAGCATCATAAAAGGTTGTAGTTAGATGTATCAATCCACTATGTAATATTGAAATATGAAAATTTATGGACCGCGACAGACTAACCCTACGGCTGAAGAGCTACGGAAGTGAACGAGCGAGTGAAGGAATGAATGAGTGATTGATTGATTGAGTGATTGGGTGAGTGAGTGAGTGAGTGAGTGAGTGAGTGAGTGAGTGAGTGAGTGAGTGAGTGAGTGAGTGAGCAATGTAGAAAGATGCAAAAAATCTTGAATCAACAAGTTGCTAAACAATTGACAAGAACATCTCACCCACTATGCGGCACCACCAAGGAAATGGTCGGTACGGCCTCTGGTCCACTGTGACCTTCGACCCTTCTTTCTTAATGACGTATCTGGTATCCACTTTCTTCAGAGCTGAAACTCACAAAAGGCAAAGTTAAAGAGATTTTTTTTCTTTTTTGCAGGTCAGATAGATAAACATTTACCAAAGACACTGTGCAAAATCCATTCCTTTAGCACGCCCTTGAGTGTCTTGTCCCTCGTGTGTACCTTCACGCATGTTTTAAAGCAGTGCGTAAATAAAGGATTTCGTATAGTGTCCGGATCATTCATATTTAATTATGTTTACCGAAGGAAAACATATTGTTTTTGGTACGTTTCCTCTTCTTCTTCTTCCGTTCCAAACACTGACCTCTGACCTGGCCAATGACCTGATTTGTTGACGTCTCTCACCATGGTAACTCGTGTTGGGTTACATAATGTTGCAATTTCATAGTAGAAGGGATTTATACTGCTGTCTGACCATATATATGAATGTATTTGAGAAAGATAACAATTAACAGAGCAGACTGTATGCGCGGGTAAACATTATGTATTTGCTTTGCAAATGTTACCTTTCTAGTCTGAGGATGCTTTGTCCTCACCTGCATCTTTCTTTAGCCTGTCGATATATGCGGTCGGGTCGGCGGTGTACTCTGCGTTAAACTCCGACCTCAAATTTTGAACCTTCGGCAGGTATCGAGGAAGAACAAGTTCTCCGATGTGCTGATCTTTAAGCGTGACGCCGTAACGTGATTTGTTCTTCGGTTTGGACGTGTGTAAAGACGTGGACGCTTCCTGCCTTGTCCCGGAGTACCGGAAAAGCACCACGATGAACACGTTGATTGGTAGAGCGATGAGGGAACTTTGTAGACCGATTATAAACTAAAAGGTAAGTAGAGTGTTCAATGGACAATCAATAACAATCAAAGTATCTAACAGAACCGAATAGCTTTTGTGGAATCGAAATAATGGCGTTTGAAACAACGGGCCTCATAGTGAACAGTCATGAAGTACAGGATACAGATACATGTAGTAACTTTAGAAAGGTAACATAATTTATGGGTCCAGCTTTTTCGGTAGCAGATACAGGGTGAAATATCTTTGACAAAAAGGTAAAAACACAAAGAGAATTAATATCTCTAGCATTTCTAATCTGTCATTTGGTTTATGGAATGGGATTTATGCCCTCCAAATTTTTGTCAGACTGTTTTATCTCTGTTCGGAATATAAATGAACGTTATCATCATAGTTTATATCAAATAGTTTATCATCATTAAATGTACGTCTCTCATATTTTATCACTGTGACAACGTTTTTTCATCTTTTTCGTATGTGGTGTATTTGAATGTTTAGTACTGGCACTAGTATGTTTACTTGCGTTGTGTCAAGTCTATGTCTATATTAATGTTTGAGCCGAATAGAAAGTATGTTATGCTCAGTGCTAGTCATTTTCAAGTAGGGAAATCATCACTTACGGAGGTCAAGCTGAAGGGCAGAGACAACTCGACGTCTCCTATCGTGACCTTTGACAGGAGGTCCCGGTCTCCCCGGTAGAACATGATGTTGACTAACATGAAGGACATGAGGAGAGACAGACAACACGAGATCCTCTGTACCCGGGTGAAGTGGCCTGAAGGAAACTTGACGACAGACACCCAAAGGTGATGAGACAGGTAACCATTTCCCTTCGTCTTTGACAGCTTTTGTCGCTGTAAGATGTAAGAAGAAATATCATGTCAAAATTTTAGCATCATCAAAAAAGCTATTGCTAGCTGCCAGGGGGACATTGCATCCAGAACCCAGTTATTTGTAAGAATTACTTACTAGGGTTATGATCTGGGGTTATGATCATACAGGTTCTGGGCAGTCTCCCCGTGTACAAGGAGGCAGATTTGCCCAGACACAACTCTAGATACACATGGACTCTACAAAACTGAGTTGAGCATTTTTCTTCATAAGGCACGATTTTGGATACAACAAGAACCCTAATTCATACCAGTATTCTTCGTCCAAAAATCTCACAATAAAAACAATGACATGGCATAACGGAAGATAAAAAACGGAAGTACCCGGCCAGAACAGTAACGTGCATTATGGACAACTTAATCTTTGAGATACTAACATCTGCCCAAATAGTGTCGAAATCCAAAAAGGTAAATCCTTGTCCACACATACATACATAACATTAGGGATAAAAACAAGCACATACATCGGCACACAAATTATACAACATGCCTCGACTTGACAATTGCCAGCTCTCCTCACCAAATCAAGTGACTGTTTAAAGACTAAATGACACCAAAAAGTCTGTAAAATACCTAAAAATATCGAAAGTGTACGTACAATATAGTCACTTGAAGTTTGTTCCAATCATAATGACTGAGAAATTGAGTTTGTATGGCCTTCTAAAAGTGAATTGTTGGAGACTATCTGGCAAGCTTCCCAAAAGCCCACCTCAGGCATATCTATTTGCATCTCTATGTTTTTTTTTTTTGCATTTCTGTGCTTTTTCCTGAGCTGACATCTTCTCATTTATAAATACAGATATTCAAAAAGAAATGTACAGATGCAAATCGCCTGCCAGGACTGGCTTGTGCTGACTTTCAAGGTAGGGTATAGAATTTTGAATGTAACAGGAGAACCGTGCATATGTATTGTAGACGTGTTAGCCAGGTAATACTAGTTATGTCAATTACAGCTAATGTCATACTTTGGTGTCATGAGCACTTTAAGCCTAGCTACAATATAAACCATCATAGACTTGGTTCCAAAAGAAGCAAACTTTCAGGTACCTTCCGTTCGTCGTTCAGATCCGCGCTCCTCCCGATGAAGACAGCCACGATGTACAGCGCCATGACGACACACACAGTCACAAACAAACAAACAAACAAATAAACAAACAAACCTTCCGTTCGTCGTTCAGATCCGCGCTCCTCCCGATGAAGACAGCCACGATGTACAGCGCCATGACGACACACACAGTCACCAGGGCGATCACACTTCTGTCCAGGTTAAAGGTAAAGGAACTCCCCAGGTCCAGCGGGTTGGGCGCAACAAAACCGGCGAAGGCCGGCGTCAACCGGTCACAGATACAGTGTAGCTGCTCACCGGTCGTCTTAGATCCAACCTTTATAAAAGAAGAAACGAAATACTAAAAAAAATACATCCAAAACTAGAAAGGCCGATATTTGCTTTGGGGCAAATGACTTCACCACATGTTGCGACATGGCAGGGAAAGAAGGAGAAACATAAGGGACAACAATGCTTTATATTGATATAACTACAGTATGAAGCGACATATGGTTAAGAATACAACAGTTAAATAGCTGTCGACTACATTATTTGCAAGGAATTGTGACAAATCTACTAAAACAATTGAATGCAGTTCAGCTGTCAATATCATTCTATATCCCAAGCATGTGTCCAATGTGTTTATCCAATTAGTCCAGCACCCAATCAGCAAGAAGATTACAACAGCCCAGCGAAAGATGTACACCTTTTGGTTGTTGCTCTCTGCATTCCTTACTGATGATGTCATGCAATACAGTAAACATACTTCTTTTTTGGCATTGAAAACAGTCAAAAGTCTCAAATTATACAATCTTAAAGGGGTTCGAATTCATGCCAAAAGTTATAATGAATTGTTGTTGGTAGATATGTAAAACATACCCATACCAATATTCAGATGATTTGAGTGTACCACCTGGTCTACAGGGCCCCAAATGTACAGAGGCGTTTCCAAAACCATACCCAGTAGCTTGAGTAACTGCTGTTTTGGCGTTATCTTTATATTAACAGGGCGTCTAAAAAAATAATACTTATTGCATTCGATTTTACCAAAATATTTTATAACCACTGCAAACCATAGCGAAAAGTGACACCTTTCTTTTAGATGTATAATGATACTTGTAAAAAGACCTTTAATATGTTTTGTCATAATATTCAAAGAATACGTGGACATCAAAGAAGATGAATTGTCACTTCCTAACACCAACCTTACATCCGTTGTCAGTCCACGTTTTCATTGTTTCATCAAATGAGATGCATTTGTAGGCAGTGATGCTGGTGTTATAGAGAACCCTGGAGTCGGATATTTCCCCATTCTCATCAACGGTTGGAACTCTTTGGATTCCTAAGTTAAAGTAAGACTTACCATTAGTAATGTTTTATGACTCTTCCAAGAAATATCTACATAGAAAATCACTGCCTGAACAAAATAATAGACAAAATACATGTGTATGATGTAACTTTTTACGTTGTTGAAAGAATACGGGGGGGGGGCATCTTGACGAAATATCTTCAAACAATGTTTTATTCTAACTGTTCTAAGGTCATGTTTTAAAGATACAGATGCAGAAATTATGTTTAAAGACCAGGGCAGCCGTATATTTACATGTATATATTATGATATACTTTCATTAACGTACCTATTGCCCACGTTTCTTGTTCGTCGCTGATGTTTAGGGTTGACTGGTTTAAAAACCAGCTGTACGGCTGCATGCCTGTCATAGTTCGTCCGTCTGAGGTGTACCCAGTCCGTGTCAGCGTGACGTTGTGGCTGTAGTCACCAGGTGTGACCACGTCGCCGCGCTTCAGGTAAGCCCTTAATGTGACGTTGGCGTCATCGCCGCTGACGTCAGGGTTGACGCGGACGTAAAAGGCCACACCTGGTTCTGACGTGTTGAATCTGTGTACCTGTTGGAACGCACAAACGCAGAATGCGTATTTATCAAATATATCAAAAAGGCATTCAGCATCTACATTTTCAGTGTACCTAGTTACGAAACATTTTTACATTTTTTTTTTAAATTTATTATCTGATCTTTGCTTATTCAGCATCCGGACTAAGTTATATGCGGTATTCGAGTTTTTTTATTTTATTTCAATCATTAGCTCATCTACGCGAATATCTATATCTGTCTGTATCTGTATCTGTTAAGCTGGTATAACCGCCCTTCGGCGTTACACACCAGCTTTGCGGGCACGCGGCGCGGCGGCAGCTGGCTACATTACACCGAACGACTTGTTATACCAAACGCTAGAACATCTAACTTTATACTTTGTTCAAAAGTATCTTATGAATTAATTGAAATAAAATGACATTAATCAAGATGAGACTAGTAGTAATGACCTGAACTAACCGTTATTTGTCTGCTGTTAGATGACATGGCTGTACCATTCACCGGTGTGGCAGTGTTTTGTACTGGATTTATTGATTCGATACTTTCGTCGTCTTCGAGGTTTCTGACGATAAGTTTCCGTCTGTCACCGAGAACAGAAAGTCCGAGAACCGGTGTCCTGACGTCCTCGGCGTTATTGGCGTACTCGAAGGGGTTTTGAGGTGTGAAATAAGTCTGCAACATAAACGACAGCATGAAATTACACACCATATTGAAATGAATTCAAACACTGTACACAATCCATTTATGTTTGGGGTAGGCAAAAGTTTATCTAAGGCCATGTTGATTTGATTATATGGATGACATCCTCCGGGAACCCCAAAACTGATGCGAGCGTGCGAATGAAAAAAAAGTTTTGCAAAAAAAAAGTTGCTTTCACTATGAAATCTACGTGGTCATGAAGGTTGAACAAATGGCACAGAATATGTTATGGCGAATAATCTACTCTTCGAATTCATTTCTTTACATTTTTGTCTTTTTTCCTTTGAATTTGGCATTCTACGACATTGGTATTGTTTCTAAATGTTTTCCTTGCAACTTATGGTATACTTTTGCTCATTTAGCAACTGTTTTGCACGATTTACAGTATGGTTGAAAATTTTTTTTTTTGAAACAGCCGAAAATTCATGCGCGCGCGGATGTCATCCATATAATCAAATCAACATGGCCTAATGCATATGAAATAATAAAAAAAAAACCTCAGCTCTCGCGTCTGGTTTCTTGAAACACCAGTTTTTTTTTTATTCCAAAGTTTCATGACTAGACACGATGACGGCACACTCAAGTTATATCAGCTTATTTTATGCCGCCACCAAATAGAGAACATAACAATACTCATTTTCACTTGAGTTAAGTGAGGAAAGCTGTATAAAGTGCCTTCCGAAGGGCACAAGATCGGTGGCATGTTTGGACTCGAACCCGGGACCTCTTGGTAATTCCGAGTCGAGACTCTGCTATAAGAGTTTGTCCGCCATATTGTCATGTTAAAATTGACCATAAGACTTTGGTATCTTTGAAAGATCTTTCTAGAAACGCCAAAAAGTAGTTATTCAAGCAACTGGATATGATTTTGCAAACGTCAGACGTTTCAGCTAGTATCCACTAGCTTTCGTCAGTGACTGAGAGACCAGAGGGGAAATGCAGTTTTATAAGCACAACCTATTGATACTAGCTGAAACGTCTGACATTTTCAAAATCATATCCAGTTGCTTGAGTAACTGCTTTTTCGCGTATCGTTTTACCTGGATGTCTAACCTTAATCGACGTATCTTTCTAGAAAGTATGTGCCTTTTCTAACCTGAGATCCAACAGTGCCGTTGATACAAAGATTCGTAGTGGTATTTTTAGGTATCTGGAAATACGCCTTTGTCTCCCCGCCTGTCTGTATGAACCGTGCGCCGGGCCCCTCACACCCGGACCTCGCCAGGGACATCAGGAAATCTTTAGCTTGGACCAAAGTCGGTTTTTCGTCCCGGTACTTCCTGTCTATCATCGCCAAGGCTAGGTTGTCAATAGCTTGGAAAGCCGTGGTTGTCGCCTCCTCGTTCTGGGAATGGGGATGATAACAAAGCGTTTGAAGGCAAATGATAATTTGAACGCGTCATGAAAGATAGATCAGTCACTAGTAAAAGAAAGCGGAAGAAATTTTCACGTCTCATCATTAACATAATAAATCAAAGTGACTGATTTATTGTGTATTATGTAGTATTCTACATGGAGGTCTAATACTTATATATCTATTATATTTGTTATAAAAGGTTACAAGGCAATAGGTGACATCCACTGCTGACAACTGGGAAATTGACGATAATTAACATGATTATCAGACTATTAAATGGCTGTATTTTAAAAATACACCAACCTTTTGAAAGTCCGAGGTTCTGTTCTGAAGTTGTGCCTCCTCCCTCTTCTTGCCTGCGCTTTGACTGGAAGCTTCCAAAACGTTCACAGCACCTAAAACAGGAGCCTCGTTTAACATAGGGTCAGAATTAATGGACCTATACCATTATTACGTCACAGTTTGTTTACCTGTTCTAAAGAACATTCTAGAACGGTCAGTTAAAGAATAAAGATCATTTCAAGAAAAGAAACAAAAAAAAGGCAAGAAAAAACAAGACGACAACACAAACGAAGATGACACACCGGTTATGCAGAAGGAGAAGCCAAGACAAAGAAGTAACTCACTTGGCGATATGGACGAAGCAAAAGTGTCATCAATCTTAAAATACCTACGAAAAGGAAAGGAATCTCAACCAGCGAAGAGGCCTCGAGAGCCAAGCTCGTCGTCCGAAACAGCACAGACATTGCCAACAAAAAAAGCACAGATGGAGGACCTACAACAGCGGGAAAGCTCATTTGCCGAGGAGGAAACACAAACCGCAGTGACATGAACGCTAATGCAGATAAAGCGACGTCATCTACGGGAAAGAAAGCAGAACGGACTAGACTACGAATATGGATTATTGATTAAGACTCTTTATACATACAGAGACAACAAACATACGTAAGTATTTGTTTACAAACATTGGAACTATGGCTCGACAAGAAAAATTAAGTGTACTATCCCTGAATACAAGAGGGCTAAGAGAAAAAGAAAAAAGAATGCAAATGTTTACATGGTTACAGCATCAAAAGACAGACGTAATCTTTTTGCAAGAAACGCACTTCACAGCTGAAATAATAGAGCAAATTAGGATGGAATGGAAAGGAAAAAGTTACCACAACGTTGGAACAAATTTAAGTAGAGGGGTAAGCATTCTATTTAAACACAACATATCTATTACTAAACAGGAAATACACAGTGATAACATAGGAAGAAAAATACTAATAAACTGTGAAATTAAAGGGGAAATGATCACTTTTGTTAACATCTATGCCCCTAACACACAAACCACTAGAAAGTGTTTCTTAAAAGAACTATCAATTGGCTACACGACTACAATATATACGAACTTATTATTGGAGGAGATTGGAACACAATCTTAGATCTTAAGAAGGACAAGCAACCAGCTTCAAGACAAAATAATACATATTACACAGAGGCAGCTTCAATAATACACAACATTTGTAAAATATTCCAACTATATGATGTCTGGAGAGAAACATATCCAGAGAAACTACAGTTTACTTGGAGAAGATTGAAACCCTCAGTAGCTTGTAGACTGGACTTTTTTTTAATCCTAGAAATCCTTTAAAAGTAGAGTAAGCGGTACCGACATCAGACCAGCTACACGCACGGATCATCAAGGGATAACAGTCAAAATAGACACTAAAACAGAAGGCAGAGGGCCTGGACTATGGCGATTTAATAACAGTTTATGCCAAGACAAGAATTACAGAAAAATGTTAATACAAATAGTGGAACATTTTCAAAATAGATACAAAGAAGAAGATAATAGAACACTGTGGGAACTATGTAAAAAGGGTATTAAAGAAAAACAATTCAATACAGTAAACAAAAAGCGCGCCTTCGCTCAAAATGTGTGCGAACGCTCGAAAAAGAACTTCTAGATTTAGAACGACAACTAAACGACAATAACGAAATTTTACTAAAATACAACCAAGTAAAGGAACAACTAGATAAATTTTATAAGTACAAAGCAACAGGAGCAAGGATAAGAGCAAGAACAAGGTACTATGAAGAAGGCGAAAAGTCTACAAAATAATTTCTAAATCTAGAGAGAAGTAATAACAAAAAACACACAATTACAAAATTGATAGGACCAGGAAATCAAATGTTTACAAACAACACCGAAATACTGCAACAATGCAAGGAATTCTATGCAAATTTGTACACATCCAGACAGGTGCATGAGGATGAGATAGAGAATTTTCTGGGAAAGGTTGAAATACCACTCACCTTGTCTGGGGAAGATAATATTTATTTAGATAGCACACTGCATGATAAAGACTTCGAAAATGCGTTATCGCAAATGAAAAAAGGGAAAACCCCCGGCTCAGACGGACTTACTGTTGAGTTTTATCAGGCTTTTTGGGACATCGTAAGCCAATTAGTAATTAATTCTATTAGAGAAGGCTTGGAAAAAGGAGAGTTATCGGTATCTCAAAGAAAAGCCGTCCTTAAACTGCTACATAAAGGCGGGGAAGATAATAACATTGATAACTGGAGACCAATCAGCTTGCTTAATGTTGATTTCAAAATATTGACACAAATATTAGCGAATAGGTTAAAACCTTTTTTATCCAAACTAATAAATGTTAATCAAACTGCTTATATAAAAGGGAGAAGTATTACACAAAACATAAGACTACTCTTAGACATCATGACATACACAGCAAAAGAAAACGTACCCGGATTATTGTTATTCCTCGATTTTAAAAAGGCTTTTGATTCTGTGGAACGAAATTTCTTATTTAAAGTGCTAGAAAAATACAATTTTGGAAATCAATATACGAATTGGTTAAAAACAATCTACACTAAATGCACAAGCGGAGTTATCAACAATGGCTGGATTTCTGACTTTTTCCTTTTAGGCAGAGGAGTGAGACAAGGCTGTCCACTATCCGCAATTCTTTTTCTTTTCGTAACGGAAATACTAGCATTATATATAAATCAAAACAAAGAAATACTAGGAATTAAAAATTGTAGATGGTGATAACATAAAAGAAATAAAAATCTCTCAAGTTGCGGATGATACAACATTGCTATTAGGAAATGAAAAGTCTGTACATACTGCAATAGATACACTGTCTTACTTTAGTAAAATTGCAGGACCTGAACTAAATCTTAGAAAGACACAAGCTATCTGGCTTGGTTGTTGGAAATTCAGGAAAAAACAAATACACGGAATTTCCGTACCCCAAACACCAATCAAGTCTTTAGGAATTTATTTCAGTTATGATAAAAAAGAGTGCAATGAAAGAAATTGGCATGAAAAGGTTACAAAAATAGAAAGCATGTTAAACATATGGAAGAACAGAAAGCTAACTCTATATGGAAAGGTAACTATATTAAAAACTCTAATAATGTCACAAATAACATACTGTGCTACAGCTCTATTAGCCCCAGAACAGGTTATTGTTAAACTACACCGTCTATTTTATCATTTTTGTGGTCAGGGAAGAAAGACAAAATAAGAAGATCGGTTACCATAGCAAACTATGACAAAGGCGGACTAAAAATGATAGATATCAGAGCACAAATCGAAGCATTAAACGCTGGGATTATTAGACGTCTTATGGATAATACATCAGGAGATTGGAAAATCATACCAAGTCTTTATCTAAACAGCATTGGAAGTGACTTTCTAATCTTGAAAATGCATTTTAAAAATAGATCAAATTCTCCCAATCTACACCACATACCCCCATATTATAAGCAAGCCATACTTAGTTGGCACCGAGCGGGTGGCGGAAGACGTACCCGAACCAGTAACAGCTAACGAAGTCAAAAATCATATTATTTGGGGGTCTAGCTATGTCACAAAAAACCCAAAGAAAAGAAAACATGCAATCATTATACTACAAGAAATGGATAGACGCAGGAATAATATACATAAGAGATCTGTTGGATAATAACAATCATATAAACGAATTACAGATACTTAACAAACTACACGATAAAAAAATTGGCTTGCTGAAATGTACACCGTTAAAAATGCAATTCCGAAAAGATGGTTAGCACTACACCCAAACGACACCCAATGTCAAACAACAGAATGCACAGAACAAAGATTAAAATACACAAACTACACATGTAAATACTTATACAGTATGCTAATTATCGACAAAATCGACAAACCACAGAGTGAACAAAAATGGGCTGTCATTTTTGATAAGAATTATCAAACTTTTGAACTTCCATGGATTGATATGACTATACATTTAACAACAGAAAGAAAATTATCAAACTTCATGTTTAAGTTGCTCCATCGAATACTTCCAAATAACAAAAATTTACATAGGTGGAAAATAGTACCATCCCCATTGTGCCACATTTGTAAAGTAGTAGAGGATGAAAAACACATGTTTATCAACTGTATAAGATTGGGCAACTTCTGGGAAAGGTTCAAGAAACTTTTAAATGTATTAGTCAAGATTGACCTTGATTTTGAAACTTGTATTCCCATAATGGGAATACCAAGAACTGAGAAAATGTACAAAGGAGGCAATCACATGATTGCATTAGCCCTGTATGCCATATTTAAGTCCTGGATCATGTATAAAGAGAACGAATGTTTTGATAAAATAAATTGCTTTTCAATATTTTACAAAGATCTTAAAAACATACTATGCATAGAATATAACATATCAGATACAAACGCAAAGAGAAAGTGGGGTTACTTAATTCCCCTGGTAATGTAACATATATCTATTACATTGTATTGTATTGTATATAAAAGTTTGTATAGTTTGTAAATAAAGTTCATGGACAGGACCATGAAAAGGAAAAAAAAAAAAAAAAAAAAAAAAAGATCATTTCAAAGTTTTCAAAGTCAGGTATGTCTGATTTTTGCTGCGACTAGTTGTGTTGACAAAGCATTACATGCCGCATGGGTGATTTAGTTGTGACATTAGACGAAAGTAGTACTGTATTAAAAGCCTTATATTAGGCTAACGCTACACAAACACACACCGCGCTACGCACCCCTGTACAATATAAACGTCGATTGACCGGCATTCATTGCGGTAAACAAACTGTTACGTAATAATGGTATAGGTCCATTGTAATCGGGATATAAAGAAAATGACCAGAAAAACAATTCCTAAATATTTTCTATCATTGCCGTACCTGAGACAAGATGCGCAGCTGTTTTCTCTAGTTCTTCTGCCCCTAGTTCAGATGACTGAGTCGTCAACACCTCTTCTAAGGTTTTTAATGTATCAGCCGCCTTTACCTATAAAGTGAAAAATTATTAAAGTTTAAAACATTTTGTTATTGTCTGAAGCCATGGTAATGTTTAAGATACTTGCTACTGTGAAGAAAATTTGCTCTATCAAAATGACAAAATCCACACGAAAAATTAAAAAAAACGCTCTCAATGCACTGTTGTCCTAACGTAAAAAGACAGGTCTTACTTGAGACTCATCAGACAGTTCTTCAGGTTTGTTGATCACGTGTTCCAGCGTGCTAGACACCTGTTTCACCTGCTGCAGATCCAGCACCTGCACCTGCTCCAGGATATCCACCATCCGGTCACGTGCCTGTATGTGTGTGGGCAACATCATACATCATACCACAATATTTTCAGAAAACAAGGTATAAAATCAGGTTCCGCTGCAGCGTCAATGAAAGCAGATAAAGGCCAAAATAAATAAAAAAGTTAACATAGACTGACCTTCATTGTTATATGATCAATCCATATAACACCAATTCATTCATGGCTTCTTAAATTATTGATAATCAAAGCATGCAGAAACACAAAAAGAAACATTGCCGCCATCTTGGATCTGCACACCTCACCAACATGGCGGCAGTTCTGTGCATACAAATGCCGTGAAGCCACATTAAGTACTCTAATATCAGTGGGTTGTACTGTCCACCGTGTATAAGGTTTACGTTTTACATTATAACCGGATCCGTTTTTACTCCGGAATGATCATCTTTCATGGTTGTTGGCGTTCAAGAGTAGAAGAAAAAGGATTTACTGTTCGTAACATCAAACGCTGTAGGATTTGAGAAATAAAATTGACGACAAGCAAACCTCGATCCTTGTCGTATCCTCGACATCTGATCCATTGGCGACGTTCAGCACGGACGCCACGCTGGTAATTGATGACGTAGTCTGTTGTACGTCGTCGACGTCCAAATTGTCTAAAACCGTCTCTAGAAACTCCTCTACATGTTCAGGTGGTCTGACCTGCAAATCATGATTTTTCTGCCTGAAGTTTCTTTGTTTTTTTCTAATTACGTATTGCCACTGAGCAAGAATTCACCCTCACCAATGACAAACTAAACATTAGTAGAGAGAGAGAGACAGTGACAGAGAGAGTGAGAGATTGAGAGGAAGAGAGAGAGATTAAAGGCAGTAACATCAACAAGATACTGGAATGCATGCATATAACGAAGCTTTAACATACATCTGTACGTACATTTATGTCTTTCTGCAATCTTTTGTCGTTAAGAAATGTGAATTTAACATAATATATGGGTTATACAAGGACTCTTACATGTGTTGTAACACTTGTGTTGGCGAAGGCGCCCAAGGCATCAGCGACACGGATGACTATTTCCAGCTCGTAGTTCCTGTCTGGGTTTCCGGTAGGCAGCCTGATGGGAGGGGTGCTGGAGGCCTGGATCACGAAGTAAAGGCACAGTCTGTCAATTAAACAACTCTAACACGCAGAAATCATATACAAAAATGTCACACTGCTAATAAAAAGACGATATCATCATACAATACAATTGAATGATTATTGTGAAAATGGGTAATAAGAAGAAATTGCCAAAAAAAAAAAAACGGAATAACGTATCCAGAACAGTGTCTGTCTTTTTTAAATATATATTCCAACATCTAATCACAAGACGTGGTGACGGCACACTCAAGCTTTTTTTTCTGTTATATTAATGCCGCCACCCACACAGGAACAATACAATACTCATTTTCACCTGAGCGAAATGAGTAAAGTCGTGTAAAGTGCCTTTTCCAAGGGCACAAGTTTAGTGGCATGTCAGGCGGGACTCGAATCCGGAACCTCTAGATTAGTAGTTGAGCACTCAGAACAAAGAAAATTTGTATCTAGTTCTATGACTGAATGGGTTAGGGATGGTTATAGATAGCCCTTGCCCCAGGCATTGGTCTGGACACACATGGGATATCTAGGACCGTGCCTGTGTATATATCTGGTTAAAGCACTGTTCTGAATACACCACTAACCGGCCCGCTGTACAGGAGAAGTTGGTTGCTGGAATCGTCAGTGGAATTAACAGAGGCAACTGTGACGTCAGCCGGAGTGTATTCAAAGTCATAACGCAGAGGTAGATCCGAATCATAGAATCCTGAAAGACAATGTCATATGACCATGAAATTATCACGGAGTTTTAATCAATTTCAAAAAATTTAATCATTAATGTAGTTCTTACTAGTACGTGTATCATAATTCACCAAATGTGTTAATAAAGACATCTAACAAATGTGCCTGACATGCCACCGATCTTGTGCCCTTGGGAAAGGCACTTTACACGACTTTCCTCACTTTGCCAGGTGTAAATGAGTATTGTACTGTCCCTGTGTTGGTGGCGGCATTAATATAAGTTGAAAAAACTTGAGTGTGCTGTCACCACGTCTTGTGATTACATGTTTCGGAATATTAAAAAAAAAAAAAACAAATTTGCCGTAGATTGTCAGTTACGTGGAATTACCACAAATGAGGATGGATATCGATGATCTACGAGTAATCAACATCTACGTTCCTGTAGTTTCTCAGCACATTTGGTTGCAAACTCTAGTTACACAGCTTCCTTTATACAATGGCCACTGACTATATCAATAGAAATACAAATGAATCTGAATAAAAAACATGATTATACAAGGTCTGTTTGAGCTTTTACCTTGACACTGTATCTCAAAGGACCCTTCGGATGTATCTGAATCGTGGACAGCGCAGGTTCCGACACTCGGTGGTTCGTTCAGCGTGAAGGAGTACTCAGAAGAACCAGACTCTGTTGAGTTACTGTCTGTCACCATAGCGGTTACAGTATACGCCCCATCCTGTTAAAAAGAGGCAAACGTCGTTGTAAAATCATTTTTTAGATTAAAGGAAAAAAAACTCCATTTACTAATTCATATATTTATATTTTTCCAAGACATAATTTCAAAAGAAAATGATAACATGTCAAACATTGAAGAAAACAAACTCATTCACAAGGAGTACGTGAAAATGGTATGGGCACAAGAACCATATATGTCCATATTAGTAGATAGTTTATTGTACCTTGTCAAAGACACCGGCCCTGAATGTAAGGTAGTCTTGATTTCTGTCGTTTAGAATGTTTCTGTTCCAGTCTTGGTCCGTCCAAGTAGTGACCGAGCCTTGGCTCGTACGCTGCATGAGTGTCCAGCGGTACGTGTACGCGTTGAGACCGGTACGACAGTTGCTGCATTCCAGGAACAGCCGCATCTTTTCCCCAGCGTTGATTTTAGGACCGCAGGTTCCGTAGGTCCTGTCACAGCTGTGGAAAGAAATGAAAACTATCAAATTAAAAAAAAAACAAAAAAAACAAAAAAAAATAAGTAAAATAAAAAAAAGGACGTCTGACAAAAATACTACACCCCGACAACACAATTTTCTAATACATAGAATAATCATAATCTCAGTCTAAAGTTGGCGATTGAGAGCTGCAACTAAATATTAAAGGAATCCAGTAGAAGTGGCATAAACCTATTCTAAGTAGTCGAAAACCTAGTTTATGAAATGCAAATACTTTTTTAAACATTTATTGACAAAACATGGTGACGGCAAATTCAAGTTATGTTTATATCCATGCAACCACCAACACACAAGACAAAAAGAAATACCTAAGGATTCTAATAAATGAAAAACTTTATTTCAGATTTTGCCACACTTAGTATAGGTCACAACAAAGCAAGATAATCAAACGGCCACAATTAACACAATAATAAATAGAAAAGAAACTAACTATAGTTTTTTTACATTCAAATTTTCCTCGCTTTTCTGTTATTGTGGAAATAAAGGAACAGATAGATTTTTGATGCATGGTTTGTCTAATTGCATTTAGGAATATAAATTTTTCTACAGTACTTATACAGTGTATAAAAATGTTTTTGTAATTGTAACAGTAAATCATTTGTACTTCTGTATAGCTGTTAAATGTTGATTATACGGTCTAATTTGTAGCTTAGCAAATAATTAAAAACTCCTCAAATCGCAGACTTACATAATCGATGTAAGTGGGATGGTTGAACGAACCACCTCCACGATTTGACTCGCAGAGACAGCGTCCCTGCCTGGTGCAGACACCTCCACGGTAAAGGTAAGCTCTTTGTGGAGTGTTTCAAGGCCCAAGTTTACAGTAAGTAAACCTTCATCTCTTCCGTCTAGTACAGGACAAACCCCATCTGGACCTAAGCATACATCTCAGTTATACACGGTATTAGTTCAGGAGCATGTTGAGAGATATAGAAACTCAACTAGAAAGGCCGACATTTGCTTTGGAGCAAAATTCAGCATGATTTCACCACATTTCACGACATGGCAGGGAAAGAAGGAGAAATACAAGGGAAAACAATTCTTTACATTGATATAACTATAGTATGAAGTGACAACAGTTGGATAGCTATCTCTTACTGGTTGTAATTGCATGATGCAAACTGTTGATTTTCAACTGAAGATAAAAAAAGCGTTTACGCCCCGCATTCCAATGATGGAGCAGGAAAGCTTGGCATACCTACAAAAACACTTGAATTAAGTTCATACTGGCTTTAAACAGGTGTTTGTTGAGTTAAACCAAGCAAATCCGAACAGCCAATCAGCAAGGAGAATATAGGAAAGCTGCATGCCTGATGGTTGCCTGTTCTACATTCCATTCCGATGACTCATGCCAAGATATGGTAACACTGCTATGGTACATTCTCTATAACACAGCCAAAAAGCTGAAATAAAACCATTCTAAAAGCCCGTATCACAAAAATGAACAAAGATCCTGGGGGTATTTGCCCACTCTACCTTCATGCCAAATTTCATGTTATTTGGTCCAAAATGAAGGAGTTGAATCAATTTAAAGAGATGGCAGGAGGAGAAGAAGAAGAAACGTGAGCAAGGAAAACATAATAAGGTAAATAAGTCACACAGATTTTGGGAAGAAACAAGAATCTGTAAAATGAATATGTAGGAAACTTTTTAAATACGACGCAATATTTGTTTTTCAACTAGCATGTAACTGTTCACATAATGGCAGTCATAAATTCAAGGAATTTAAAATATGACAGTTCGCTATGATGGTATTTATTTATTGTCAATCCATCGCTTTCTGAAACGTTTGACTCGTCATACAGAGAATTTACCCAGTTCCTGATATATTAGGTAACTTTCTACCTAAATGTCTTTTCACCATCGTCGGCGTTTTATGTAAGTTTACTTACCAGTGGGAGTACAAGACCAGCGATAGTTCAGATCCTTGCTCATTGGTATAACTCCATCAGGGTCCGATGACAGCGTGGCCGCATCCAGCGTCACTTTTCCTGTACCGACCTGCCTACGGAATCCACCTAGAATACCAGCAATAAGGGAGGAGGCCGTGATGCTCACAGAGGCGCTGTTACTTGTACGTGATACTACAACGCCTGTGTTGGTTTCATTCACCGTCACTGTGAGTCTGAACAGGTACGTGCCATAGTTCAGTGTTCTGAAAGGGACGAGAAGATCCGCCTTTGTGGAGACAATGTCCGCTGCTGTAATAACAATGTCGGAAAGCTCTTGCCAATGCGTTCCTGCAGACGGCAAAGCTTCCCATCTATACGTTATATCAAATTGTTCTGTGCAGTTCACACCGACGGAAAACCGACTGGTCAGTCTGAATGCTCTGCTGCGAGGAATGGACATTCCTCCGCCGATGATGGCCACCTCAGGTGAGCAGTAGGTACATCCGTATCCACCAGGTGTGTTCACACAGGTAGAACCGTGAAAACAAGTCGCCCTGTTCTCCACACACTCATTGAGATCTGATACGCAAAACGAAAGGTACATTTAAAGTTGAGGATCAATTACCTAATATGTAACTATAACCTAACTTAAGCTCTAAAATTAGATTCTAAAGATAAAATCATGTTGCTGCCGCTGTTGTTTTCTATAGAAAGAATAGATGCTTTTTCATGTAGAAGTCTATATTCACGTTTACCGAAGGAAAACATATTGCTTTTGCTACGTTTCTTCTTCTTCCGTTCCAAACACTGACCTCTGACCATTGTAACTGGTGTTGGGTTCCATAATGTTGCAATTTTATAGTATGGGTGATTTATACTCCTGTCTGAACAACTATATATGAATGTATTTGAGTAAAAATGAACAGAGAAGACCATATGCGAAGGTAAACACTATGCATTTGCTTTGTAAATGTTACCTTTCTAGTTTATATATGAATCACAAATAGTCTTAGCTATTATTAGAATAGGCTTTTACCTGTTACTGCTACTGTTGCTCCCGCGAACGTAAATGATGAGTTCTGCTCATTTTGTTTCATGTAAGTCTGCAAATGTTCCTCTAACGTTTTTGGCTGCAGGGGCATTTCTCCCTCCAAAAGTGTGACGGACTGA